TGTGGGCTGGACTGCATGTTTACATATGCAGTTCGAAAAGTATAAAGCATCTATCTTAAGAATGGATGCAAGTAGGTGTTCTATCTAAAAACAATAAAAACTAACGGTCCAAATGTTTTCTTGCTAGAAATATTATTTTTAGTTTTGAAATTTACTTATTTTTTCATATTCATGATTTCCATGTTAGAGATTACATGCTCTTAAAATTTAAGTCCAAAAATCCATCTCAAAAATAAATTTATTAATAGGGCCGTATTTCTACGTATACGGGTTTAACCGCATAGAAACCAAATCTCTTTCTAAGTTAGGGAGAGAGTGGTCTAGATCAGATCTGGTCCATCTGTACTCTGGTAATGCGGTCCTTGTCCCTGAACCTTATATAGTGCACCTTTCCGATTGGATAGGTCAGATTCTAAGTCCTAGGTCAGGAATATTCTGAATTTTTCCTTGGACTCAAGACACGGCTATTTTGGGTTCTAAGCCTCCTAAATGAAGTACATGGACTATCCTATCACTGGACCATGGTTGAGACATGGGCTATGATTCAGTGTGTCCTATGACTTACTAGGCTACTATGGTTCAAGGTTCAGGGGCTCAGAAATAAAACCATTATTGTAGGGGTGTCTAGATGGAGCTAGAAAAATTTTCAAAGTTTTATAATCCAAAATTTTCACATGAATTTTGGATATTAAGATCGTAGATAGGTGGATTTTGGAAAAAAACATAACACTACCCAACACCACCTAGTCATGACTGCTACTGCCACCACGACAAGTACTATACCACCACTACTATCACCACACCACAACCACCACCACCACTCCTCTACTACGACTACCTACCACTACCACCTCAATTGCTCCACTACCACTGTCACCACCACCACCACAACCATAGTGCCTCCATCATTGCGCCATCACTACCACTTCCAATACCATTACTTCATACAATAACAATTTCTAGCTCAAATAGAATCAAAATCCATAGAGAGCAAATGGCAATTAACCAAATTGCCATTTGATTAACTACAACTTGAAAAAATTCCTTCTGTTTTCAATCAAACCATCCCTTAAAAGTAGGTATTTAGCCAGAAGAAATTGTTGTATCGAATGGTCCTGCAGGATTATACTGCACACCTTCACTACTAAAAATGGGGGAAGAATACAATCAAGTTCATCTACTCGACATTGCCATGTGTAAAACCAAATATAAACAATAACATAGAATAAGCGACCACTAACATTCCTAGACATCCATTGACCTTCTTGACCCCCTTGTCTCAATGTAAGCTTAGCATCATATCTTCACTAATCACACAATTCAGGCCCACCTCTAAGACATCGATATATGTTATACAAAATATAATTAGTCATATAGATTAAACAACCAATAATATTCCATGATTAAGAACTATACAAAATATAATTAGTCATATAGATTAAAGTACCAATAATATTCCATGATTAAGAACTAACTGGAAATTACTTAAGACTTGCATTGACCCCCTTATCCATAAAAAAAAATTTGCATTATGTCTACATGAAACCATTTTTCAACTCTTACCTTTTTATCTCTTTGATCTGCTTATTGTTAGGCTTTTCAACAAACCAAGCTAGCTCGGTTGGGTTCTCAAACAAGCTAAGCTTTGACCATTTTTTCAGCTCGATAAGCCAAGCTGAACCTACATGCTTTTTGCTTGACCAATATTTTGTCAGCTTGACGGGCTAGGGCGCAGGCCAAGCTGAACCCGCAAGCCGGATTCTAAACAAGCCAACCTTAAGCTTAGAGTAGCTCGGTCTGAGAATGTTTAATATTATGTATTTGGGCCCTCAATGGGCCAGGTGGCCCAGCCAGGCCCTAAAAAAAGTAGGGCTGGGCTACAAATTGCACCTCGAGAGTTGGGCTAGAGCCAGTGCCTACCCAAATCGGCCCGGCCACGCCTGGCCCTTGTATTTTTTTTTTTTTCGCCTTGGCCCTGTAGGGTCGGGCCGGCCCTATGGGGATAAGGGCTGAGCCAGGGTCAGGGCTGGCTCTCCCCGCTGCTAGTATGTATATTGATGGTGAATGGGTCCTCGAGAGCTAAGTTTATGAGGTCACTCTTAGTTGCTGGGTATCACATTAAATAAGGAGTTGTTAGTTTTATCATCTTGATCCCTAAACTTTATGTTAGGGGTGATATTTGTATAAGGTGCCTTCCTTATTTTGTGAAGTAAGATGCACACTTAAAATTTGCTTACAGATGTAGTTCTGGTTATGGAAACTTTACGATGGCTTGAATATCTTATTTTATTTCTTATTATAAAATTTAGATTTTAAAAAATGATACAAATCAAGCAGATTTATAAGCACTTGAAAATAGACAGGTTAGGTAACTTGTTACAAGATGCAATATATTTTAGGATTTAAAATTCTGTTTTTTTTTTTCGTATACACACATTTCGATTACTGGGTTTTCTAATGTCAAAACACTCTCTTCTAGATGAATTTTAAAGTTATACCTTACTTCAATAGTATAATGTCACCAGCCTTATATAAACTGTTTTTTTATGTTAAATCTCATCTACACTGATAAATATAGCTTCTTAAGAGCGTTATAAACTGGGAATCACCTATCCACAGAAGGAAATATCAAAGAAAACAAGCTTCAAAATGAGGTTAGATCTTAAACCTTTGAAATATGAACCCAACGTCTCAAAACGTGCCAAGAAAACTTCTAAAAAAGACAGAGACACAAACCTTGTGCTTCCACGTCTGTTTAAAAAAACGAAAATTGCTTCATGCAGCAGGGACCGTATTTCTACAGTTGGGGTCCCTGAAGTACAAAGCATCTATCTTAAAGATGGAGCCAAACAGATGTACCATCAATAAACAATTAAAACTAACGGTCCAAATATTTTATTTATAGACTTATTATTTCTAATTTTTAAAATTTATTTATTATTTCATATTCATAATCTTCATGTTAGATATTACATGTCGTTAAAAATGAAGTCCAAAAATCCATTTCAAAATTAGATTTTTAAGAGATGACTCATTTCTACATGCTCATAGAAACCATGTCCTTAAAAAAACCCTGAAAATCTGGAAACACCTATCTGGATCGAGAATTGGTGGTGACCGATCCATTATCTTATAAAAACTGGGAAACGACCCAGTTCCCTAGGAATCACTTGGTTCAACAAATTTCATTGTTTGCATTATTTTTTCTTTTTTTTTTTTGGACCAACTCTCATACTGGAAAATTGGTGTGGTTCACCAATCCGGATCGGTGATTTGCCGAACCATTCCGGATTTCCAGATGGCTAATTTACCCAGCCAATCCAAGATTTAAAACACTAGCTTCAACAAATGGACCACAGGGCAAGAGATGCTCTGGCAATCTTCAAGCCATCAAACACCCCGACTTGGATCAATGGAAAACAATCGAGTTTCTTGAGAATCACAAATTCAAGATACAACTAAGCCCAATGAAGCACTGTAATTCTTTTTTGATTTGCAAGTTCAGAGAAGCTTGCAGATTTAGGCCTCGCCTCCGTTGCAATTCAAAAGTGACATATTTCTTGGAGATTTTGGTAGAAAGAAGTCATTTGTTTTCAGTCAATGCTTGTGAGAGCTCGTAGGAAAACATTTGACTAAATGAAATCTTCAAAGATGTTTTTAAAGGTCAAACTTGATTTGTAAGCAAAGAATTTTGAAGGCATTGAGAAACCTGCTTAGCCATAGCAAAAACAATTGGAAGATCTAGATTAAAACAATAACCATCTCAAAGTAATCCCAGCAAAAAGTAGTAGAAGAGGAAGCTGCAAAATCAGTACTATATGAATTCAAACTCAAAATAGTTCAGGCTTGAATGAGAAGCTAGCAAACCTCCCAAATCTCTCTCCAAACATCAGCAACCATCATATTGAAGGATGACTACTCATGATCAACCAATGATCAATAGATGCTTATCCGCTTCAACCGACTCTATTTAGAGTTTACAAAAACACTCTGATCTATCAGATATGGACCTTTTAGGCATGACATGAACTTCTATAGCAGAAAGCATCACATAAATCATTTGTCTCTATCTAGGACCCTAGCAAAGATTCATCATGCTCAATATTGGTCAAGCGATTCTAGTTTAGGCATATTGTTACTGTTGTGAGTGAAATTTTGTGTCTAAACCTTAGATCAAATGGGTTTCATGTTGGTATTAATGAGCTTGAATATAAATGAAACACTTTGCTTTTTAGAACTTCAAATTCCTCCCCCAACATAAAACTTAATCAACTTCTGAACTTTATACCATTAGAAATGAGTTTGTTTCCCTCACTGATGTGTTCTCTGATTCATTTGGGAAATGTTCAATTTATTTAGGTCTTGTCAACCAGTGCATGACTTGCCAAGTCTCAGCCCTGCACAAGACTCGGCCAAGTAACTCGCCTCGGCCAGGGGGCGAGTTCCCTAGGTGAGGCCAATTTCTGTACACTGTTCCAAACGAAGCACTTCGAATTTTGGGTCACACCCTCAGCTGTTAAATTTCATACTCGTCAGCAAATGCTTCATATTTTCTTTCTCGAATCTGTTTTTGTGATGCCACAATTTTGTGTTTGATATTCGTCGTTTTGTTCCAAAATTTTGGGCTACTCACGTGTTAAAAACTCTGGTTTGGTAAAATACGCAAGTGGTCTTCTATTCATTGAACGGTATACTTTATAGTGAATAAAGAATTGACCTTCATTTTCATGAAAGGGAAACCTCCTATTCTAAATAAAATTATTTATTAGAAGTTTGAACTTGTTGTAGATCCATATAGATGGAGGAGCTAAGATCTCTCTCTCAATCAATGTGATGGACACATGGACGAGAGAGAGATCCACAAATAGATGGAGTTTAACCATGCCAAAGCCATACAAGAGAGAGAGATCCACAAATAGGTGGAATTTAACCATGCCAAAGCGACAAAAAGAATGTGGTTTTCTTTCATTTCTCATACAAAAAGGAAAAGAAATTATAGATTATCAAATTTCGGGATTTCCCTTGTAGGGGTTTTCTCCCCTTTCTTTTAAAATAAGAGAATAAATTGTCCAATGATACAAGAAATTTCTTTTCTTTGGGGCAGTTCAATAGGGATGGGTATTTGTACACGGTAAGAATGGAACCCAAGACTCATGTAGTGGCGCCCCACCACCCTGACTACCTACTATGATACAAGGAATTTGAGAGAGAGAGAGAGACCTTTTTGTCACTTAGGAAAAGGAAGCTTCTTTCTTCACAAAAGAAAAGTATTTGAATTTGATTTAACTTGTGAGTGAATGTTTGGTGTCAAATTGCGTGATGGATTATAAATAGGGCCATGACGATTGCTTGATCCATTCCGGGTTGTATTTTGAGGTTCAACACGTCTTCTCCCAGCCACACATCCCCCACTCCTGCATGCTTCCTTTTTACCTACATTTCCAACCATTTTCAACATTACTTTTTATAGCTGTCACGCCTCCAAACGTTACTTAGTAAAATTTCAGGGCAAAAAAAAAAAAGAAAAAAAGAAAACAAAAAAAATGACTGATATTAGTGTATTAAAACACGAAATAAGGTGTTGAATCGCCAACCCATCATAACGATCTAGATTGGCCGAATCGTTAGAAAAATTGGAACTAATAAAAGATGATATCAGGTGATTTCAGAGGAAGGGTTCCAGAGCCCTATCGAATCTGATCGAGGTTGGTGATTCCAGATCCACATTACCTAGTTTCGAAACCATAAATAACATAGAATATAAGTCTAAATCAATTGACCAATTCCTGTGAGTCCAATAATGCCAAAAAAGGTGAAGCCTACTCATTTTGAAATACGGCTACCACAATCCTAATCTATATGAACTTATTTATTAACATGTATCTCCAAGGAAATTCCCTTTTGGCTTTTGACTCTGATAAAATATGACCATAATCAAACAAACTGACTAGTCATTAGGTTAAGTGCCGTATGTGCCTAAGAATTCCTGCAACGGAAAAGTATTCTATCCTAGAACTTTAATTCCTACAATTTACGATCACCTCCCAACAGACAGATGTCGATAAGGAGCGCTGCTGCGTGAATTTCTTCCTGTCAATGTCATTTAAAAATTTGAGCTGAGGAACAACGATCTCACTCATCCATTTTTAACATCGGATGGTAGGGGAGGTGCTGGAACTATACAACTTCAATTTTCCTTGGGAGGTATTTATATATATATATATATATATATATATATGAACGTGTGAAATCTATACTGTCCAATAAAAAGAGATCGTGTTGAATAAATCTTATTTCTAAAAATAAGATTGCCATCTTGTTTAGAGCTACCAGGTCATATAATTTACCTCGGCTACAAGTGCACCAGAATTGCAATGGATTTTAGACCAGCCTTTCTCTCTTGAAGAACTCAGTCGAAAATTTATTGATCCATCGATCTCTCCGGTGCTTAAATGGGAGGACAAAAGAGCCTTTGTAGCTCTAAACAGGGGCTTCTCTTGCATTTTGCGTGATCCCAAAGTGTCCCCTCTATATGCTTCCCAGCTTTCAAGTAGGCTCAATTTCTAAATAACAAATAAAACATACATAAATATTTACATCATTGAGGAGCTAGAGTTTCAAATAAGCATGATAGTGAAAAACTTTCATGAACTTTAAAAATAAAATTATGAAAAAAATCCATTTCTGAAGTTTGGTGGGGTTTCTTTTTGTAACAAGAACACTGGTTCTTTTGGTTATGGGAGATTGATCCTGTCCTCTTATCTTGAACTTGGTGGTGTACTTCGAATCGAGAGCAGGTTTATGGTGCAACAACCATTGACGACAGACTTGGTTCAGAATTCGACATCAAGTCGAATTGATGCGACTCAGGGTATTCTTCTGAAAAGAAAGGAGTTTGATGAGTGATTTTACTTATTTTTTACATGACTCACTTAGGCCTGGTTTGAACATCAAGTCCTGAATCGATTTGGCAAGTTTTTGGTCTTTTCCACCAAGATGAGAGGCCAAAATGCAAAATAAATAGAAAAACCTTAAAAATAAAGTGAGATAGATTGAAACTGGTGGCTTGAGATCAAGAGTTGTACATGTTAGATGCAATGAGAGTACCTTGCGCCGGATGGTTAGCAGCACATTGCCAGCAGAGTCCATCAGAAAAACAGGATGATCTCTCGAGTTGCAGTAATTCTCGACTCTAAACACCATCCGGCCCTCGCAGTCATAAACAGTGTAGCCATGGCCGTTGAAGACGAGGGATTTGGTCCAGACTGTGAGAGATTCTACCGAGGGGGAGGAGAAACTAGGGAAGACTATACACGGCTCGATTTCTGAAGGCCACACAGACGCCATATTTTGTAGCATTTGCCCTACTGGTTCGCTTCTAGAAGGCCTCAAAAACGCCATTCTCGACATCTTCGGGGCCGGCAGCTCGCTTCTAGAACGCCATAAGTTCGCCAATTTTTTCATTCTTTGCACCATGGATAGAAGACCACAAGAACAATGAGAAGTGAAACACGCAGAACACAGTGTCCATGCATTTATAGAGAGCCAAATGAGGCGTTTAGTGATAAGATGGTCAATAAGGGAGCTGAGACACTAAAGACTTGGGCTGGCATTTTGAATGGACGGTGTGGATTCGATCTTGAAACTTGTTGTAAGGGGTTTTACATATATGATCCAGCCATCGATTTGGAGGTCAAGGGCGATCTGTGGGGATGAGTGGTCAATGTGGACAACGCTGGCTGGCTGGCGGTCCCAAATTGGATTTCATGGGAGGTGGAAAAGATGGAAAAAACGTGAGTTTGAGGAGGTGGAACATTGTGGATCACAGTATTATTGCTGCTCGGGCTGGGAATTTAGTTGGACCCCACCCGACATCCGACTACCTGTCCTAGTCCGGGTCCAATATTTGAACTTGGTAGATCGGGTCCAAGTTCAAATATTGGACCCAAATAGTAAACCGGTTTGGATTTGAGTCCGGGTGAACATGTCCCGTTCTTAACCTGGTTATTTTAAAATATTAAATAATAAATTATATATATAAATTGATACATTTTAATGTAGTAATATACATGTACTCTTATATTATAATGAGAATTGCCCAAATAATTAAATATATATAGTAATATACACGTACTCTTTTATTTTCTTTTTTAATGTTTTATATCCTATATATATTACTAAATGTTGTTATATATATTTTTTATTTTTTATTGTAAACCTTCTTATTAGTCTTAAAATGAGAATTGCCAAAATCTTCTTATTAGCTATTTCCATGTTCTTGGTAATTTTGAGTACTTTTTGGGTACACGTGTTTAGGTAATTTTTTGAGTTTTAGCTAATTTTTTATTTTTTTATGTATAATTTACGCCAAATAAATTCTGGGTCTAGGTCCAAGTCGAGATATTTTAGCTAGACCCCGTCAGGTCTGGATCAAATCCCATCTATAAATTTTGGCTTCAGATTCAGGTCCGGGTTCCGGCAGACCCGGACCCTATCCGGCCCGTTCCCAAATATAAGAGAATTGCTAAAAAAAATAAAAGATAAAGGCAAAAAGGACGCAAAGGGCTGCGTCAGAAGTACGTTAAAGGTGTCCGATGCAAGAAAATCACCGGCACATGCACAAAACTCTCTCTCTAGAAGTCTCTCTCTTAAAAGAGATCACCCCCTCTCTCTCTCTAGGACTAAAATCGTTGCGTGCATCATGTGTGCATTGCCCACCGACTCATGCATCTTTACCGAATGAGACATCTCTCTCTCTTACCCACCAACTCTCTCTCACACACTCACATGCTCTCACACACTCATGTGCTCTTCCATGTACACACATGCTTTTGCTAATGTGAACAAGCATTTCACTAAAGTATACATGTATTTTGGAAAGAATTTGGAAAAAGTTTATATAATGTTGCAACTTTAAAATGTAAATATAAAGATGCACCTCAAAATTCCATCATAAAAGGTTGTTGGATGTTGAAAAACCCTCTAATCGATTATATTGACATCGAGTTGTATGAATATGAAAAGAAATAAAAGATTTTGAGACCTAAAATCAGTATATCTTGCAACACATTATCTGGACCTTCCATTTTCAAGATTTTCATGTGCTTTTAAATCTACTTGATTTGTACCTTTTAAAATTTTATAATTAGAGATAAAAATAGATTCTCGAGCCATTCTAAAAAAAATCTATGTTAAAATTATATTTATGATAAAATTTAGAGGTACGCCTTAATTGGATTGTTTAAGGTTGCAACCATATGCAAACCACACCCATTTTTAATATGTAAGCACATTTGTCATATTTAAAATTGGGTGAATTCAAGAGAGAGAGTTGCATTTGAGAGAGAGAGAGAGAGGGAGGCCAGATATTAAATGGCCCTATAGGCACCATATTTTTAAGTAAGAAAAGGGATTAAATGCCCCTATAGGCACCATATTTTTTAAGTAAGAAAAGGGAATGTGACTTTGTTTCTTTTTTTTGTTGTCGTTGTTTTTATCATGGCGAGAGTCACTGCACCTTAGCAAAGGATAAATGTAGTCATGGCGTACTTCAAATAATACAAATTTGTAAACTGTGGATTGTTGTGGTCTTATTTTAGAGAAAGGTTTCTATGTTTTTTCTACAACATAGAAGTTCTATCTTTTCCCTACCATCCAGTTTTTTAATTTTGATCAAGAGAGTCACTCACCGTTTGATATTAGATCCGACGTCTCAAAGTATTTTATTTTTAATATTTTTATACAAATTGTATGAATATGAAATTTGGTACGTTCCATCTTCTCATTGGGGCTCACTTATAAAAACTATTAAAAATAATTATTTGATAAAATATAATGGTCAAAATACCCCTTGAAATGGTTAAGGGTATTTTGGTCATTTTATTTTATTGAAAATATTTTTTTATTATTTTTTACTAGTTGCAAGTTTAACAGAGGAATGGATGTCCAAAATTTGGTATAAAAATAGTTTATAGAAAAAAATTAAAAATAAAATAGTGTGTAGAGATATGACATTGTGATTGGGGCAATCTTAACCCTCTATTCAGAATAGACGGTTAGATAAGGAGAAAGATAGAACTTCTATGTTGTAGGGGAAGCATAGAAAGCTTGTCCCTTATTTTATGTTTACTTTAGTCTTTGAGTCAATCGCAAAGTCTCAAAAGGGTGTGGTTTGCTGAGGTTGTAACATTAAACAATCAAATGAAGGTGCAAGTTTAAGTTTTATCTTGGGATGCAATAATTTCCCATATGTATACATCTCCATATCGAGTTGATCCATTAGATATTTTTTAACATGAAAGCAACCTCTTTCGAAAGGTGCACTTTAATTCTACATTTTGAAGTTTCTACTTTATACAAACTTTGTTCCATCTCAAAATGGGTTGTTTTGGTTCAACTTCTTAACGCACCAGGTGACGTTATCGTTATATTAAATGAAATTCGGTATTCTTTTCGATTCTTGCGTAACGTGAGCCATTTATGGACCTTTAATTAATTGTTTTCATAAATTCCCTCTTTTCGGTGGTATACATTGTCCAAATTATTTTCCATTTTCTCTGGTAAGTCCATATATTTCTTTTTCCAATCGAGTGACCATTATATTTACTGCCTCGGGTAAATAGTGACCATTATATTTACTCCCCCTGGTATATGACCTATTAAATATGAATTTTTGTTATGAGATTTTGAGGTCTCTTTTAGAAAAACAATATGACCATTTTTTAAAAAATAAAAATCTGGAGTACCTAAACAGCCTGAGTTAATGCCTAAACATAGCAATAATTTCCTTCATGGAGTTCCGGATCGCTTATTTTATTTATAGGATTATATACTATCAAACTATTTATCTTTCTTACAAGGAAATCACAATTACTTTTTAGCCATTAGATATTATATTGGATAGCTTAGGTTTGGACACAAAGTTTCAAGAATTATTTTTTAAAATTTGTATCTAGTCAATAACATGCTCACAATCACCCGATTTAAAATTTAAATGATAAGAGTAACTCTGACCTCCTAGTACAAAAACTAAATGGTATCTTTGTATACTTTTCTTTTATTTATTAAATATTAAGGGTTGTCACCAGGTTGAGTAGGTCACATATCTAAAATGAAGTCCCAAAAATAAGGAAAATTGTTTTATGCCAGCTGGATCCCATGACTACATATGCAGTCCAAAAAGTGTAATGCATCCATCTTAAAGATAGATGCAAGTAGGTGTTCCATCTAAAAACAATGGAAACTAACGGTCCAAATGTTTATCTTATTAGAATTATTATTTATAGTTCTTAAAAATTTAATTATTGTTTCATATTCATGATTTCCATTTTAGAGATTACATGTCCTTAAAAATTAAAGTAAAAAAATCCATCTCATAAATAGATTTTTTAATAGGCCCGCATTTCTACATATGCAGACCTGGCCGCATAGAAACTGGGTCCTAAAAATAATCCTAGCTAGTAGTTTGCTTAGCACAACAATTGTATTGTTTGCTCCTACAAGAGCATATAATCTCATTAGATTAACTATGAAAATAAAGAACAACATTTATATGAAGTTGTAACTTTACACTATAGAAGTAAGGTAGGTGTACCTTAAAAATCCTGTAGAAAAGAGTGTTATGAGGTTGAAAAACCTCCTAATTAATCATCTTGACCTCGAGATATATGGATATAAAGAAAAGAAAAATTCAAGTCTTAAAATTACCTCACTTAATAACAAGTTATCTGGATCATTTGTTTTCAAGATTTTCAAGTGTTACTTGATCTGCTCGATATGTACTATCTTTGAATTTTTAAATTTCATAATTAAAGTTAAACATGAATTTTCAAGCCATCATATAGTTTCGAACACCATATTTACCTCTTCCAACAAAATTTAGAAGTGTGCCTTATTTGTACTTAATGAAGTGCGCACCTTATACAAACCTCATCCTAAAATAAAAAGTTTAGCCAATTATTTAGCTGCTACACATGTTTGAATTATTTTCCATTTTGAAATCCACGAAAGAGCTTTCTGTCAAATAATATAGTATTTCTGTCGAAAAAAAGGAAGAGCTTAGCTTTTGCTTTTAGAATTAAGATTTGGTATTCTACAACTTTCGAATGCAAAGTGACATCATCTCTTGTATGTGCACACACTTAAAATGGCCCAAAAAGGTTACTTTCCCTAGTTGACCTAAAACGCCACAAGAACATAAAGTCTTTAAAGAACATAAAGTCTTTAATATAAGAACAACGAATGAAAATATTATTTTTAGAAAAAATATGTAAAGAGATTATTTACTTTTAATATAAGGAAGTCACAATTACTTTTATCCATCAAATTTTAAATTCGATAGTTGTAAGTGTATCATTGATTAGATTAAAAGATAAAATAATGCAATTTTTAGAATTTGTGACACTTCCTAGCCATCTAGTTTGACATCTAATGGCTACGAGTATTTGACCTCCTTTTAACAAAGATAAATGGCCTCATAGCAAATGAGCTTTATATATAAAGAAACTAGG